GTTTTCGCTTCAAAAACTACTTCAATATTTGGAGAGGTAATTTGGGAAGTTTTCTAAATCTTACATTATGTAAATGAGGTGAAGCGTTTTGGAAATGACTTGTGTCTAGAATAATGTAACTTGTCTTTAGTTGACAAATAAATTTAAAGAAGCTTGATTAAGATTAAAAATTTCAAGTATGATAATAGTACTTTTGTTAAAAGCATTATTTTAAGTTTTAAAGTACTTTTATGATTAGTAAACAGCTTATGATAAGCTTTATGATAAAAGCTTTAACAGCTTTTATCATAACAGCTTTATGATAAAAGATCTAATACTTTCAATATAAAAATTTAAAAAATATTGGAGGTCATTAGAATATTCGAAGCTATATAAAGTATTCGAAACCAAAGAAGATTAATTACATTATTTATAGTTTGGAAATTTGGGTATAATCTGGATTGATTGTCACAAAAAGTTTCCGAGAAGACTGTAAAAAGACTTTGGCATTTTTGGCTGTGATCGAAGGATTAACATTTTACAGAGGGAAAGTTTTATTTTTATTTTTATTCTTACTTCTTATTTTTGGAAATTGGTTTTTGTGTCAAATAAGGCAATTTAGCAGCTTTTAACATTTAGAATAAAATTTTCTATTTCTTACGACAAAATTTTTTGAGGTAAACAATTTTTACTGAATAATGTTACTTTATTTTATAAAATATAAGTGCGTCTGAATTTCTTCGTGTGTAATTATCTTCAAATAATGTAATATCTAATCTTAAACAAAACAGGGGCTGAAATAAAATGAAAAAAGTTTCCTTACAAAATTGTTGATTTTATTAATTAAAGAGAACCTCTACAAAGAAATAATAAATTTTAACTAAAAAAAAAAAAGATATATATATTTTTTTGCATTGAATGAAAAGGAACTAGTTTTTTTAGTCCAGAAAGAAGAGAACTTGGATATTTTAGATCATACTGTGAAGGTGTAAACGCTGAAATCTAAGTACAGTCTGTCAACATAAAGAACTCCCCTAGCCATTAGTATGGAGTTGTGTCAGTGACTATGGTTACGGGGTTTAACTATTTCAAGTAGGGGTGGTTAGGTCATTATTTAAGATAGGTTTTGACACGGGTCGGAGAGAGAAGAGAATCAGGGGAGAAAGAAGCTCCCCTTTTTGAAATGCACTATTTCTTGCTTCCGTAACAGCAGATAACCTTAGACTTCGTAGCGAAGGTAGTTCTTTCCGCAGAGAAACTGTAGGTGGGTTGTTATTTAAGTAAGGACCGTTTTGTTTTATATAGGTGACGTGTGCATCGGTGACGCGTGCATCGGAATGAGTGCTTATGTTGTGTCCGGTATCCCTTGGGAACAACTGTGCTCAGTTGCAGTTGTGTAGGTAAAATGTACGGTCAATTCTGTGTCTTAAAAATGTTCAAATTTACCGAAATCGCCAGCCACTCACGAGATACGGTCACTGATACGTTTTTAGTCGCCAAAAAAGCCTGTCTGCTACATATATTCACTGGCAGATTTGTGAAGTTACGATTTGTGATTTATGACTATGACTATGACAATGACAATGACTTTCTCCGCTATGACAATGACTCTCTCCGCTGCTCAGATCCCAGCTATTTTGAACTCTTTTGACTGTGAAGTTTTGGACCACCCCACCCCTCCCTAGAGTCCAGACCTTGCGCTGAGTGATTTTCATCTTTTCCGAACATCATTTTGGCTGCAACCAGTACAACGATGACGAATACGTAAAAACGGCAGTGACCTCTCAGTTAACAGAGAAGGCGGCAAGTTTGCATAAAGAGGGTATTTAAAATCTAGTTGTATCTAAATCTATCTATTCTAAATCTAGTAGTAGTATGTAGAATCTGAAAATACATTTACTTCTTGAAATTTTTTTTTTGTTTGGTTTTTATTTTCAAACGGCCCTTACTTAAATAACCCTCGTATATAAATACCCCAACTTAGAAAAAAAAATAATAGAAAGAAATTTAGAATAAAAAGTCAATGCAATAAATAAATAAGTAAATAAATAAAAACTTATCATTTTTGAAATTGATAATCAAAAACTCTATTAATACAATTTTTTTAGCCATAAGTGGATATTGGTAAGTACAATTAATGATAGATGTATAATTATAAAAGGATACTGGAAGATTCTCCAAAAAGTTTTAAGCTACATATTTTTTAAAAAATGTTCCAATTTAAAATGCTGCTGTGATTTTTTCGTTCGCGAGTCGAGAATCGTGTTATCTTCAGGGCATCTTAGTTCATCTGTTTCTTAATTTTAATTTATTTCATTTTGACCAATGGCTTTTGTCAAGAATGAATTTTACTACAAACAAAATGTATGCCCTTAAGAGAAATGAGTTTTAAAACTACTTACTTAAAAACCTTCTCATCGAAATATTTGTAGAGTTTAAAGTTGATTTAAAATGCCAACATTTCTAGCCAAGAAGTGCACTGGATCTATTGTTCAAATTTATTTTAATATGATATGAACAGATGAACCATGTTTCATAGCAATTTGATTTATAGTATTGCGTAATTGATAATAAATATCAATTAAAGATAATAGGAGGAGAAAGATTGATTTACTTTAGCTTACTGTGTAAGTTAATCTCGTAACAGCCAGATTGATCTGTCGTTTATGTCAGCTTAGTTGTTCATGGAGATGAAGAAGCCACATTTTCAAGACTGACAGCAATATTATCAAAATAGCGCCTCGGCCGCCTTTACTTCTCAGACTATTTGGTACTCGTCGATCTCTTAGCTTGCATAAAATCCCCATTAGATATAGAACCTCGGTTTTTCACAGTAACACGTCAGTACCATAACCACCATGTATAGTGTATAGTAGTAATACAGTCCAATTTAACATCTTAATAAAGTTGCAAAAACTCTTCACTACGCATTTAGCTTTAACACAAAATTCAAGAGGAAATGCTATGAAATAAATCTATTACTGGAAGGAAAGTTAGTACTGCTTATCATCATTCAGTATTAGGCTTATTCTCATATGCGGTCGTTATCTTAGCATCAGCCCCGCGAGGGGCTCTAACTAATTCATCTGAGTGGGAATGTATAATAAATCACCGAGTAGTAGTAGTAGTTAATTTACGTCGCACTAGAGCTGCACAATGGGCTATTGGCGACGATCTGGGAAACATCCCTGAGGATGATCCGAAGACAAGCCATCACAATTTTGATCCTCTGCAGAGGGGATGGCACCCCTGCTTCGGCAGCCCAACGACCTGCACGCGAAGTCGAGCACTTTACGGTAGAACAGTTTATCGAGGACCAATACCCCGCACCCTCGGCCCCTACGCAGACTGATCCAAGTGGTCACCCACCCGCTCACTGACCGCAGCCAGTGATGCTTGACTCCGGTGATCTGCTGGGAACCGTGTCTTAACGATCAGTCCACTGCGGGACAATAAATCACCGAAGCGCAATTGAATGGTGAAAGTTGGGGTCCAGTAACATTTATTGAGAGAAACTTAAAGTAGCGAGATTAAACAAACAAATTTAAGAGAGAGAAGAGGTTTTTGTGGCAGACTGCCTCGCCTCCCCCCGAGGTATTACCCCGAGCTTCGCAGGATTCAGTATTAGGTAATAATAAATATGCATTAAATAAAAACGTTCAAAAATATGCGTACGTTAAAAAAATACAAGTGTGTAATTTTGGGCATGTTACTACTACCGTCATATGAGGGCGTATGAAGTATCAGGTTCGATTCTGCTACCGCCTATTTCTTCTAACTTTACACTTACACGAATCTACTAGTCATTTGTAAGCACTAAGTTTTTTCAGAGATTCTTGAATGCGTACCAAGGAGTCTGTATGCTCCAACCCAATCTGTCTTTCAGCCACCTTGCTTACGGCAGAGATAGTCTGTCGTTGATTCAGTTATTGTAGCTGTAGCTCATTTACATCACACTAGAGCTGCACAATGGGCTATTGGCGACTGTCTGGGAAACATCCCTGAGGATGATCAGAAGACATGCCATCATAAGTTTGATCAGCAGTCTCTGCAGAGGGGATGGCTCCCCCTCTTCGACCTCACGACAACCTGCAAGCGAAGTCGAGCACTTTTTGGTAGAACAGTTTAACGAGAACCAATACCGAGCACCCTCGGTCCCTACGCAGACTGATCCAAGTGGTCACCCACCCGCGCACTGACAGCAGCCAGTGATGCTTGACTTCAGTGATCTGCTGGGAACAGTCGTTGATTCAGACTTTATTATCTATTTTTTTTTCTTGAGATAATTGTTGAAGATTAGTCATACGATCCAATATATAAGCCGGAAGATTACCGTTACAAATTATTGCGAGCTTTGGTAAAATCAAATTTTATAGTAATCAACTTGCTTTGCTATATTTTTACTTTCATAAAAGTGAAATTATTTAACAAATATTCTTAGTTTATAGCCAATACTTTAGTGAATTCCCATTCATTTGTTAGAAATTCTAAAATTTTTCAGAGAGTCTTCAGACAGTAAATTATGTTCTAAAAATACACACAAGAAACTTCACTCCAATTCCAAGGTCCAAGAGCAATATTTTTTATCATTTCAATTCATGCTTTCTGTTAATTAAAACCTCATTTGTTTTACACAACCGAAATAGGTTTTCCCAGAATTTGTGATTTTTAAAATATTTTAAATTAAATATCAAACATTTTCCGAATAACTTACGTCACAAGTGACGTCACTGGTTCTCGCAGCCACTGAAATCGATCTTGTTCTAAAAATATAGCCAATCCAAAGCGGAGGGAAAAGGGATGTAGCAAAGATAAATCTGCTCCCAACTCATCCTGCCCAACAGGCGATTTGAATACACGCAGATATGGACGTTACGTCTCGTTGTTTCAGACATGTTCAGACTTGTTCGAAATTAAGAATTACTAATTTTTTCTGATCCCTCTCCTGCCAAGGAGTAAATCCAAGGACGTGGTAACCATGGAAACCGTCATCTCATTTGATCCAGCCACACCTACATCTGTAACATCGTCCATTGGTCTTCACTCCCAATTCAACGCTTCCGTCAGGTGGTTTAATAGTAAATCTATCTCTAATAGTAAAGCTCTTCCTTGTTAGTTTAAATTTATGGTATTTCAATTTAGACTATACGAACGAACCAGAATGACCTAGAAACGGAAATATTTAACATTTTCAACAAGGAACTGTGATTATCTTACAATTATTTATTCAGTATCTTTACAGTAAAGCACATTTAAATTTTATTGTATGCACAGCTTCGTATTTCTTCTGCCTAGCTTTACTTAAACGACAATCTTTATTCTATGATAATATTCTTGAGACGCCATATCAATAAATCATTTCAACAATCAGAATTCTACTTTAAGTTTCTTTCGACGTTTTCCAAAACTGTTGCAAATTTTTGTTATTGTTATGCCGTAGAGGTTGGAGGTAGGCCAAAAAATTGCAAGTTATCATTCATCATCGAAGATAGTAAATAAGGACTATTAATATTTTTAACCGTTGTCGACAATCATTATTTCTAAACTTTTATTGCCATGTATATATAGTTTCTGCTGCTAAAATGCAACAATTTGCTTAGACTAGAATTAATTCGTCCAATGATTGTTTGAAGTTGAAGTTATTAGTTAATTATATTCACTTTCTGATATTTATAAGAAATATTAAACTACAATTAAGTAAACTTTAACCGTAAAGTTATGCTTCCTTTCGCTTGGATCCTGGTTTGAAATTCGATTCTGAACTAAAGTAGAACATTGCCGATTATTATGGCTTTTAGGTCTATTTTTATATATGCATAAATGTGATGTTTTGGTTGAGATTGTTTTGAAGGCTTTTGTTTCGGAGTGATATGTCTCAACGTAATGGATAGGAACAGATATTATAATAAAATGTTAACTGAATTAAAGGACGACTTGGAAGAAGACACTCGGCAGCTAGCATGCAAGGTAAGTCTGTACCTAATTACAATTTGAATCTAATTTAAAGTTCAAAAGCGTATGATGCATTTTTATGTTTGTTATTTGTTGCAATTTGCGTGAATTGGTTAAAATAATTGAATGTTACGTTGAAATCGAAAGCTTTAAATTATTTTCTATTATATAATGTCAGTGTATGCTTCTATTGTACTGAAATAGTTTATCGAATTCAGCATTAAAGTTTGTTTTGCGAAATAGACATATTTATTTTCGTAGATAATATTAATTTTGTGGTTCCAGTTTGGTAATATTATTTTTTTTTTCCAAGTCATTCATTTGAAAATACGAATTTTTCAGGGATAGCTTTGAAAACTTCTTTATTAGTTGATTTGAAATTAAACTATCCTAGGTATATAAGTAATTTTCAAAATTTTATTTGTTTATTTATTTATTCTTATTTCTCCCGATTTTAATCATGTGGAGAAAAAATCACTTTATTTTGCTAAAATGCAAAAAAAAAAAAGAAAAAAAAAGAGTGTCCTAAATAACTTTTGATGTAATGACCCTANAAAAAAAAAAAAAAAAAAAAAAAAAAAAAAAAAACATAAATTTCATTTAAAATTTCAGTACAGAATTGTAGATGATGTAGTGTTAATAAAATGTATCCCTAATTGTTGTCACATTCAACAATATGGTAAAGTAGTTTAAAAATGTTTTAAGTTTGACACTAAAATTGTTAAAATTCTCTAATAGAGTTGAATATTTCTATGAAACTCTTGTTTGACAATAGAGGATTTTGTAAACGAATTATTTTGCTATTTAAATGTAGTTTTTCATGCCTTTATATTTCTACAAGCAAAACAAATGAGTTAAATGTAAACGTACGTTTAAAACATGCTTTTTAATACATGCGGTGTAAAGAGATTATTTCAAAGTCAAAGAGAAATCAATTGTTCTCGGTCAAAATTTTAAATTTCTCATTTATATACTTAATTTTCAATTTACACGTCCTTGTGCTCAATGCAAAACAAAGCCTACTTAATTCTGACTGGTGATTTGATCACTTGAATTCTTTTTGTGCACAAAACACTGCAAAAAAGGGTTCTTTAAAATTGAGCAAATATTTGTCAAAATAGATCCGAAGCGAATATAGTCGAATTTGAAATCTTGTGCTCATTGAGTATTGTGACTTGCTCAAAAGTGAAACTTATTTTGAGTAAAATGTATTGCTTCAATTTTTAGCATATTATACTCAATAATGAATGCATGAGGTTTTAAAAATTTACTATCTGTTTCGGTGCTATTTTTGCACATTTTTTGCTAAATTTTGCGAAAACTTTTTTTGCAGTGCAGATACACTTTAACATTTTCATAAATTTTCAAAAACTTGAATGTTTGGGGAATTTTACTTTTGTTCATAAAGAACCACTTTTCTTAGTATCTATGCTGTTAGAAATTATGGAACCATAATATTCTTCAAATTTTTAAACTGTTATATTGCGCTTCACTTAACTAGATTAATGTACCTCTTGAACTTGATTATGCGAACACTCAGTGTTCAATTTTACACTTCACTACGGTTGCGGTGATTTTGCATCATATTATAATTGAAAGTATCAATTTTATGAGTCAGCTTTTATCTCATTTTTGTGTAAGTGCTACAATATTCAATTCCTTTTATCCTTCTAATAAGGTTCGGTGTATGAGTATCTTGTTATGAAATGATGCTCTTGATATGGTGTTCTTTTGTATGTGAAGGGAATTTATATTTTCAATCCATGAATTTCTTACAAAATTAATTCTTTTTTTGAAAAAACAAGCTCTTTGAACTTTGAAGTTCAAATTTTCAAAATTTTATGTCAATTTTGTAAACGAATTATTTTGCTACTTAAGTGTAGCTTTTCATACCTTTATATTTCTGCAAGCAAAACAAATGAGTTAAATGTAAACGTACGTCTAAAACATGCTTTTTAATACATGCATTGTGTTTCAATATTCGGAAAATAAATTTAACGCATATAAATTTTTTTTAGCAATAGCTTCATTGAAAAAAACAAGTATGGTCAAAACTTCTAGAATATGGTAAAATTTACCATGTTTCTCAGACTATGAGAATACCAAAAAAGCTCTAATTTTTATCGAAGCGCTCTGGTAAAGATTAAAGAAAAAAAACCAATAAAATATGGTTTTATAATAAATGATAAAATTCGGTAAATGTGGCGAAACTTGGTAATTAATTCGTAAACCTTAGAGCAGCACAATCTATACCTTAGATCACGGCACAAATATCATGAATTCGTTAACATTTAATTTTCAGCTCTGTATTTATTATTAAATGTGTGGTAATGAGAAATATAATTTTTAAAACTGTAATTTTCATTAAACCATTACCATATGAATGGAAATTATTTAATGAATGATTTAAATACTATATATTTAAATTTTATAACCAGATTTATGGATTTTTTTTAATAAGAAATCTCATTAACTTTCAGTGCGGTAATTTCCCCAGATTTTTTTACTCGGTGTAGAGAAGAACAGCTGAAAACTTCTGAAAGTTCTGAATGACTCTTAATCTAATGATTGGATCTTCCCTTTCTAGGACACAATCTTAATGGTTCGAAGATGTGATCTTAATATGCTAGTTAATAAGTGCAGACGAGAATTTTAGGTTCCAAAATCAGACATAAAAACGTACTTTCCCTGAATAAATATACCTCTTTTTCGGCGGATTCGGATTTTTGAACCCTAAAATATAGGGGGTTGCCGCATACAGGAGAGTGGTCCAAAGTTTGGACTATTAAATGTCAGTTTTACGTATTTCGCCAGATCTCGAGAACTTTTTAAGAGAATTAAAACGGTTGTATTTTTAAAATTAGATTTCTCAGGAGCTACTCGAACGATTTTGCTATCTAAAATTGCATTCGTTAAAATGATAAAAATTGTATACTTTACTTTTCAAAAGTTTTTCGACTTTTATTAAATAAAATAATAAATATTAAGTTTTATTTCGCATGGAATTATCTTTGAATAATCAAATTTTATAATTGTGTGCAAAAATGTTTTAATTTGCTTAAAAAGTTCTCGAGAGATGGTGAAATACGCAAAAAGTAAAATTAACATTAAGGGAGGGACCCAAGCTTTGGACAGCTCTTCTGACCAAATTATTGGGACCATATTTCCTAGATTGCGGCTACCTCCTATATTTTCTTTGTCACAAATTCAAATCTGTTAAAAAAAAATTTTTTTTTTACTCAGAGAAAGGACGTTTCTGTGTCTGATTTCATGTCTTCAAATAATGTTTGCACTAATTAGCATATTTGAGGTCAACCCTTTGAGGAACTTCTCGGAAGTTATTCTGGCTTGTCCGTTTTTTATTTTGCACACTGTACTTATAACATTTAAAATGAGCTGAATTTCATTGCAGAAATATTTTTGGCATTGTAAGTATGGTACTGTACTGTCAGTGCTACACATTGTAATTGACAATCTGATTGGACTTAGTAATTACAATGCACCGTATGATTATTTTAAAATTAAATTAAAAAATTTTTAAAAGTTTTTTTCCCCTCTTATTGTAGGGTATGGTATTTTTACAATTCATGCAGATTTTAACAAAATGGGTCAAATGGTTTTTTGAGATACTGAAAATTGGCGTTTCATGAAATTCTAATGCACAAAAACCATTCAATTTCATTAGAATGTCATATTTAGTCATTTAATATAACTTATTATGCTAAGTAGTGTAGAGAATCGATAATTAGTACGATTATTTAAAGTACTGAATTCAGTACATAAGAGTCATTATGAGTTACTCGATACTTCTTTTCGTGTATTATGACAACAGTTATGAATTGGCGAAAATTTTTTCCTTCATGGTTCTTTGGCATGTTTTAGGATTACATGTATCCTAGTGTGAAATTGGTTTATTGTTCGGCAAGAGAACGCAACGCTGAATCGGTTTGGACTTCAGTCATGGAAGTTTACGTTCACTTACTTAAATCCAATCTTAATCCTTATCAAAAATTACTAAAAGCACGAAAGTCACAAATAATTAGTTACAAATTCATGAAAGATATATAAAGTGACGGGCTTTTAGTGTTGAAGTTCGATTCAAGCCAATTAAATCGGATCTAGATCGTTTAGGAACAACTGTTCTATTACTTTTCGTGAATTATAACCAATCGAAGTAACAGAGGACGCCCTTCAGTTACAGCCAACAAATAAAGTAGTTTTGACGATTTAATTTCCCCCTTTTGGTTTGATCTTGACGCTGATTGGCCAGATTTTCATCCTATTAGGAGTTTTATCGACACCGGATAAATATGGATTCCACGGCATCAAGGTGACCAAGGAATTTTTCCTTTTTTCCCCCCAGTTTGTGTAATTGTTTTCTTCTCCTTTCTTCGCGTCAGGCACAGTTTCTAGCAAATTTTTACTAGATACCTTGAATGTAAAACATTGTAAGTTCTTATTTTGAGATTGGCTGCATCGGGCTTTTATTCTATTTAACTAAACTTTTAATTCGTCAAATTTTTGCGAAACGTTTAAGTTTCAGGTCAGGATTTCAAACACGATTTTAAGTTTTTAACATGATTTTATAAAGTTGAGTAAAGAACAATTAAATACTAAACTTAATTAATGAACTCACTTTATGAATGTTCCATTCGTAAATAGTACCTATCTTTTGAAAAACTTAATGGTTTTGGTTTATAATTCTTCTTCCCACTGATAAATTGTGGTACCAATACCCCGAATTCCACTAATTTTATATAGTTCTCCATATTTTTTCATTAGACTTAGTTTTTAGCATAATTTATCCTTAAGCGCTAACTTTCTTCATTTAAAGTCTGTTTCCCCATATAGACCCCCAAGCACTATAATCATTATCATTTATTTCCCACCTTTCTTATCGTAATTGCATTAGACTAAACAATTTGCTTTTTCTTCACCTTGACTAAATGGTAGGATTTGAATTTGGCGCAGTATAGCCGTTTACTTTTCTTGTTGCTGTGTGTTTGGAACGGTAT